TAGATAGATGTATTTACTTTTGTTTGTAGTTTGTAAAGTTTTACTGTGTTAATGTTTTCTCCTTGCTTTGTTTAGTAAACTCTCGTTTTGTATTTCTGCACCCTGAAATTGTTGCTCATATACCACCTATAGTTATGGCTGGAAATGTGGATGTCATCAAGGATGCAGTGGGACAAGAATTCTTGCCGGGAAAGAGACGAAACAGTGACATTCGAGTTTCATGGAATTTTGGACAAGAACATTTTCTGTAACTAGGTCCAGACTCTAGTGAGCATAAATATTTAACTAGGTCCATTGCAAGCAAAGTGGAATTTATGAAGCTTTAGTCGGGAGTGTATCATGCTGTAGGGGAAAGTCATAGGACTGTTTTCGGAGCGCTGAAAACTAAGGTTGACCAAGAAGTCAATTACGAAGTAATTTAGTTAGGAAACTGAGACGGAGGTTCAACGAAGTAATTTAGTAAGGAAACTGAGCTGATAACTAAGGTTGTACAAGAAGTCAATTACGAAGTAATTTAGTTAGGAAACTGAGACGGAGGACGGAGGAGGAGTGCATGATGACTTTTCTAGAGTATCAATAACATAATTGAATTCAAGCAGTGTTTGTAAAAATAAAAACATAAAAAAATAAGGAAAGAGAGAAAATATCGAAAAGCAGAACCCTCTAAAACCAAACGTGTTTGATGAATCTTCCTCTCGCAGATATTCTGTACACATGAATATTCAAATTATTTGTTTTTGTTTGCTCAAAATGGTGTGCTCTCATCAAATTTATCCAGCTTTTTTGGATCTACAACAAATAAGATTAGCTCACATCTACAAGCCTCATACATTACATAAAAAAATTTGGTGAATATTGACCAACAGACAACATATAAATTCAGTCAAATCCTTCTAAGTGTCTCACAACTACCAACTGGGATTGTGACTATATTCAAGGATCACTTGAACGACCAGCTCTTACAGCCTGCCATATAAGTGACTTCACTCACCAAAAGCATCAAGTTTTAGCCCGATGATCCTCCCATTCCAAACGGGTTATGTGGGGCTTAACTGTGCTATGAAGACCTCCCATTCCAATGATGGATCAAACTAGCATGAACTTTTCAACCTCAACAGATTGAAGAATTCGGGAGTTTTTCCCACTTTTTCATATGAAAGATATCAAAGATGACCTCCAAAATCCCCACATGAACATGTTCCGTTCACAAATTTGTGGAGGCGCTTGCTGTCTCGTATGACTATTTCCCTACCAGTCAGTGTTGATAGAAACTTCACAAAATTGTGGCAATCTCTGCACATAATGAGACTTTTGACGACCCGAATTGGCACAGCATTTGGTGTGTTCAACAATCCAAAAGCAATTGCCAACCTTTCACTGTGATAAGCAGTATAAGACAATGTCTGTTCTTCATCCTCATCGGTTACTTCCAAACTTTCTAGTGACTCATACCCAAGGCTCTTGACTTGATCAATCAAACTTTCTACGAATTTGTGTGTGTCTGCACTGTAAGGATGAGATTTATCATTGGGTTTAAATGAAAAGACCTTGTCTTTAATGCTAATCCAGCTCCAGTCCCTTAGTTTCCCAAGCTTTTCCTCTTTCATCATTTTTCTCACCTTAGAAACATCCTTCCATCTTCCTACAGAGAGGTACATATTCAACAAGAAGACATAAGTCTCAGTATCTTTTGGTTTGAGCTCGAGCAACTTTTCAGCAGCATAAAATCCCAATTCTAAATTCCCATGACTTCTACACCCTGCAACCAAGATGGACCATATAAACTCATTTGGTGCAGGATCCATTTTCTTGACAAGAGCAAAGGCTTCTTCTAACCGACCCAACCTCACGTACATATCAATCAGGCAGGCAAAATGGTCCAACACAGGCTTAATCCTATAGTCCTTTTTCATCATCTCAAAGAAACCAAGTGCTTCATTGACCATCCCAGCCTGGCTACAAGCCGAGAGAACACTCACAAAAGTAATCTGATTTGGTCTAACTCCTGCAATTCTCATATCCTCAAAGAGCTGCAGTGCTTGCTGAGTCTTCCCATGCTGTGCAAAACCTGCGATCATAGTAGTCCATGATATCAAAGTTCTGGTAGACATTTCCACGAAAGCTTTGCTTGCTTTTTCGATGCTTCCACATTTATTGTACATATTGACTAAGGCAGTTCCTACTACCCTATCTGAAAGAAACCCAGATTTAATGGTCTGAGCATGAATCTGTTCTCCCTGTTGTAAGGCCACTAAACCACTACATATAGTCAAGATACTTGAGAAGGTGAATAAATCCGGTTTCAAGCCTGAGCGGTTCAATTTCAAGAAAATGTTAAGTGCCTCAGTTCCACTTTGGTATGCTGAGAGATCATCCTCTGCAAGATCCATAATTTGTGCATGGCCTGCAATCATTGCATTCCAGGTAACCAAGCTGATAGCTCCCATTCCATTAAACAATTCTCGAGCTTCATTAATCAATCCACATTTGAGGTACAAATACATGATAGAGTTTCTTATTGGCAGGTTCAATTCATAGCCAAGTTTAATGCTTAACGAATGAACCTGCGTCCCCACATCCAAAGACAGCATTAAACAACACAATCTCAAGACACTGGTTAGGGTGTACTCATTAGGCTCAATGCCCTCAGAGAGCATTTCAGTGAAAAATTTCAAACCCCTTACAGCTTCGCCATTATCACCACAAGCAGTTATGGTTGCAGTCCATGATATCACATTTTTTTCTTCAATTTTCTTAAATGCTTTAACAGCTGATTCCAAGCTTCCGCATTTCGAGTATAAACTGCAAAGAGAGTTGCCGATACTAGTGTCAAAGTCAATCTGGTACTTGATACTGTAGGCATGCAATTGCTTCCCTAAGTTAACGGATTGCAAAGAAGAACAAGCATTTAAAACAATTCCTAGAGTGTAATTCGTAGGATAAGCCCCAGCTTCCAACATTTCTTGGAAAACATGAATGGCAACTTCTGGCTGCGAACTGTGAACATAACCTGTCATCAAACTTGTCCACGAAATAACGTTTCTCTTTGGCAAATTGTCGAAAACTTTACGAGCAATTTCCATGTTTCCACATTTTGCATAAACATTGACAAGGAACGTTGAGACAAACAAATCTTGGTGGGTTCCGGTCTTTATGATGTGGGCATGAACAATTTTCGCTTCTGAAGCCGAATTCTTGTCTATACATTCTTGCAAAACAGGGACATAGTAAGTTGACTCGACATTTTCACCCTCTCTAATCATCGAAAGCGCTTCTCGGAACTCCAGAGACTTGGGTTCTGAACTTCCATTCAAATTGGTGACTGTGTGACTTTTCTGATACGACACGTTTGTGCTCTGAGATACCAAATGCAGGTTTAGAAGCAGTAAACCAACAAAAAAAAACAAAGTACTTAATTGGGAAAGCTTTAAATTAGTTGCATGGAATGAAAGCCTTGAATTTAAAGTTGCTCTGCTACTTTTCACAAATCAACTCTTTTCAAATACTGCAGTGATTTAGCTTTAATCCTAGAAACTACAAGTACCCATCAAAATTCTGTCCACAAAAACAAAGATAGTAGCTTAAACAAAATATACAAACCAACAGAAGCCCAGAATTGGTTGTCAAAAAGTGAAGAGAGAAAAGATTATGATTACCCTTTCTGAAGGAAGAAAACTTGTGGGGTGTTTTCTGAATTCTTGGTCGAGCTTGAGATTGCCATTGACAGCAACTGAAGGCAAAGAAGCCATAATGAAGGCCTGGAGGTTTTCTTCAAAGGAATTGCATGCTGAGGGGAGTTGGGGAGGGAGGGAGTGTTTATCCGCTCCTCTATCTGTTTCAGATAAATTTTGTGGAGGGAAGGAATGCTCTTGTTCACTCAACTAACCACTCTCCTAGTTCCGGAGTGTAATCAAATTACACTATTAGCCTTTCAATCAAGTAAAAGAATTATTATTTTCTTTTCTTTTTAGCTAAATCAAATTGGAAATGGGTGAAGGAAATCCCAGAATAATGGTAAAAGGGAAGTCTTTTATCCCCTCATTTTGCCTAGAACGTATTTCTTTTTGTTTTTGAGGGAAAAAGAAGTAGCCTAGAATGTCATTTGTTTCTCTCACTGTTGACATTTTACATTTAGAACAAATAGTAAAATATAAATTGTATTAATAATTTTCCGAATTATGTTAACAAGATTTTCATTTTAGCAACGGGTTTGTGGCTCAAGTAGTGGTGGGTTGTGAGTTTATAATTTTTTTATATTATACAAGTGACAGTCTAAATTACTTTAAATTAATTTAATTTAATTTATGGGAAGGGATTTAAAACCAAATTAATTTAGTTTTTGTTAAATGTAGGGGCAAAATTGTATTTTTATATTAAAATAAAAAAAATGAATAAAAAATAATATCTTTAAAATAACAATAAAAAACCAACCAAAAAAAAAGGAAAAATTAAGTTTTGGGGGAGTAGAAATCGGGATAGAGGGGGAGAGAGAGTTTAGTTTTAATTTTTATTCATATTTTAATCATTTTTGGTAAATAAAAAAAAAAACCATTTTGCCCCTGCATTTAACAGAAAAGTTAACAAAATTAACGACAGGACCATTTGTCCTAACAAAAATGAAGTTGAAGGACCATAGGAACTATTTTGGAAATTGAGGTACTCAAATGCAAATCGGGTCTAAGTTCAGGGAATAATAAAACGATTAACCCTATATTAATATTAAAAAAGTATAGCCGTGCGGCTATACTCTAGAAATATATACGAATATTTTAACCGTATAGCCGCGCGGCTATACTCTTTAAATATATTCGAATATTTAAAAGTATCGTCCTGAACGCCACCGTTTCGGTGACATCTCCTAATATTTTGGCTTGTGACGTTGATTTACCGACACTGTGACATAAGTTCCGCTTTCCAATTTTCCGGGACCCACATTCTTACAATCAGCCTCAGCACCAACCAACCCAACCCCACCCACCAATAAAAAAACTTAAATAAATAAATAATAAAAAACCAACCCCACCCACCGCACTCTCCCTCTCACTACACCACTCTGAAAAAAACACAAACAACAAAACACAGAGATCACAGCCATGGCGGCAATGGCGCTTCGCAGGCTCTCAAGCTCCATCAACAAGCCACTTCAACCTTTTGTCAATGGCGGCTCCATATATCACATGGTAATGATATCTTCAAACCCAATCTCACACCACCCGCCATAGCTTTAACATTCTGTTCCGCTACATTTCTATTGGTTTTCAAATTCGTCTTCGTTTTGATTTGCAGTCCTCTCTGTCCAGCCAAGCAGCTCAGGATAAAGAGAAAGCTCGTGCTACTGTATGTATTCATATATGATTTGGGTTATGTCGGATCTGTGTTTGTGCTGTGTTTATTTGTATTGATGATTTTGAATCGTTTGAATTCAGTGGATAAAGCAACTGAATGAGCCGCTGGAGGTTGTCGATCCCGAGATTGCCAATATCATAGAACTTGAAAAATCTCGGCAATGGAAGGTATTGTTGATTTATTATCACGCAAGCAAGATCATTTTCATTTTGGTTTTTATTTCAATGTTTTAAATTTGGGATTTTGATTGTAATATACAATAAATGGAATGGAAAATGTTCTCTTGCGACTATGAATGGGATAGGCCTTTGATGAGGTTATTTTTCTTTAATGTGGGGTTCAGTCTGGAGACATAAAATAAGTCTGGCAAGAAAACATTGCCCATGATGCAATATTGAGTGTTCAAGTTTAGTTAATGGTAGGGGAGTTATTATTATTATTATTATTATTTTTAAATTTGGTTTTAATTTTTATTTTATGTCAGGGGCTTGAGCTTATACCTTCAGAAAACTTCACATCACTTTCTGTCATGCAAGCCGTTGGGTCTGTCATGACCAACAAGTACAGTGAAGGGTATCCCGGTGCTAGATACTATGGAGGAAATGAGTAAGTAGGTCTGCCGTGAATATCTTTTTGATCATTTTTGCAGTCCTGTATGTAACTATTAAGTGAAAAAGGCAATTCTGCTTCTTCTTTTTCTATTTTCTAATTTTTTTTGCGAGGGGCGGGGGGGAGGCTGGTGTTGGAGAAAACCCATTGCAGTGATAAAAACTGATGAGAAAGTGGCACCTATCTAGTTTTGAACTAAAGTCTAAATTATCATTCCACTTGATTGATATTTTTTGTTAATAAATGTAGATACATAGACATGGCTGAGTCCCTGTGTCAGAAACGTGCATTAGAAGCCTTTCAGTTGGATCCTGCAAAATGGGGAGGTAATAAAACTAAACATATTTATACATGTGGCATTGCGAACTTTTTTCTTTCCTGTCAGTTCAATTTTGTTTGCCTAAACCTGCATTGCATAAGTTTGGAATGACCTATAAGTTAAATTCTTATACAATACTCTTCTAGCAAATCAAATGTGTCTGGCTATGTATCAATAAGAACACTATACCTGTTATATTTAAACTTTGAAAGTGGGATTAAAGGAATTCGTAGTATCTACTATGCTTTGTAAACTATGTCAATTGACTTTGAAAGGTTTACAGATGAGTTGTCTTCACGTAATTTTTTTTTTTGGAGCTTCATCTCATGCTTTTCTAATTCATGTTAATTCTATTATTGAACTTTTCATGTATTGAATAAAAAGTATCTTAAATACTTAATTATTTAAAGAAACTGCGTACTTTTTTCTTTCAGTAAATGTGCAGTCACTATCTGGATCCCCTGCTAACTTCCAAGCTTACACGGCATTGTTGAAACCTCATGAAAGAATCATGGCACTGGATCTACCTCACGGTGGACATCTTTCTCATGGTTATCAGGTGTCTACATCTGCCGTTGATTTTTTTCCAGATATATTTGGCTATATTTTCATGCTTTTGGTGGTTAACGGAGACAGCCTTTGTAGTTCTCAGTTAGTCTAGTGCTTCTGTTTTGTTTGTTTTTTCTTCCCTTTCTTTTCTCCCCTGCCCTGTGAAGTATAGGAACACTTTTCTCCATTTACACCACTGTTAAATTTATGATTAGTTGTTGGGACATGCTGATGTGGTCTATGCATATGGTCTATTAGTTATGCCAAGCCATGTGATAGCTCATCATGTTTTCATTCTAGAAGTAAGTTTGGGCTAAATTAATTGGTAGTTTTTAAAATAAAAAATACATATGCAGATATAAAAGACATTCCATGCACAGGCTGATGCAGGATCTTTATTGAGCTCTATAATTATAGGCTATCTCAATGTTTTTTAAGATTAGGATTTGATGTAGGAGGGCTTAGAAGTGGTTTTGTCCAAGATTGATTGAACCTTGATGCCTGTTGGGCTGTTGAAATTATATTTTTAGGTTGCAGGAATTTTTTTGACAGAGCTTACATTGAAAAGAAGAAAATAAAGGCAATCAGACCCTCAAGAAGCTTAAAAGCCATTGGGGTTCTCTTATTGTTAACGACTGCATAATTGACCGCAGGCCTTTATATTAGTAATTTCCAATACTTATCCAATTAGGATTGCTACATAAAAGAAAAGGAAGTACTAAACCACCTAGGAAAGTACACAAACAAATTGGGAACTGTAGTACCAGTGGTGGGTTACCAACTTTAATCCCAACTGATTTGTCACATGGACATAACAGTTTCTTAAATAAATTAGGTCCAGGGTTGGGTTACATGTAACATTAAAGTGTTGGGAACTATTCACAATATGCCTGTCTAGGTATATACTAAATGATAAATAATCATTTTTTTTCACCATTGTGCAGACTGACACCAAAAAGATATCTGCTGTGTCGATATTCTTCGAGACAATGCCATACAGATTGAATGAGAGCACTGGCTACATTGATTATGATCAGGTGCCTTCTTATCCCCCCCACCTTTACTTTTCTAAATTATCATAGATTTGTATGATATGCTTGTGCATGAGACTTGTAATACTCTGGTTCAGCCTCAGAAAGAGGATGCAACAGGGTGCTGTCTTGTGCTGCTCAGATATTTTTAGAAAAAAAACTGCAGAAACATGTGTTTGGTAAATCAGTCTGGCGATTTTAACATGTTGATAACCATGTAAAGCAATTATCCACATTATAAATTATCATTTCATGCATAAGAATTAAGATTATTTGGAATCAGAATTTGAATCCTTACAACTAAACCTGGGGATCTTACCCTAAAGTCACTGAATGCATTGAACTAGGATTTTTAAGCATGTCTCCCTAAATGATTTGGCCTTTTGAGGGCCCACAGTGCTTTTTTTTTTGGTTGGGTCGAAAGAGTGCCTACAGTGCTAAGCATTCACCATTTGGATACCTTCCTGTTTCTATTTCAAGGAAGGGTGAGATAAAAGTAAGGGATGGAAATTGTATCTTGCATGGATAAGGGTTCTATTTTGGCCAATGGCTATGTGTACTCTATGCATTGTTTTCAACTTTTGATCTTTGTTTATCAAAGGCTGACCTATGTGAATAAATATGTCCACAGTTAGAGAAAAGTGCCACGCTTTTCAGGCCAAAACTAATAGTTGCTGGTGCCAGTGCTTATGCACGCTTGTATGATTATGAACGTATCCGCAAGGTAGGCTTTGGCTCGACTTTCGCGATTATGACAATCATTTTCATGCATCTCTGATTTTATGATACTCAATCTTTAAGTGTGATGTTATTCTTGTTATGTTGTCAGGTTTGTGATAAGCAGAAAGCAATTTTGTTGGCTGATATGGCACATATCAGCGGATTGGTTGCTGCTGGTGTTATTCCATCTCCTTTTGAGTATGCAGATATTGTTACAACCACAACTCACAAGTCACTTCGTGGTCCTCGTGGGGCTATGATCTTTTTCAGGAAGGGGGTAAAAAATATAAACAAGCAAGGGCAAGAAGTAAGTTCCTAATGTTTAATTTTAAAAAGTAAATAAACTAAGGCTAGCATTTGGGTACCCATTTATTTTGGCTATAACTCTAAATAAGGTGGTGAAAACCTTATTACAGCTTGAGCCAAAATAAATGGGTACCCAGTTGCCATCCCTAAAAAAGGAAGTAAATTATGGAAAAAAAATATAAGTCCCAAAGTGAAGCACACTTGAATTGTAAAATGCTTGAGTTTCCTTCTACAGGTTTTGTATGATTATGAAGACAAGATCAATCAGGCTGTCTTTCCTGGACTCCAGGGTGGTCCGCACAACCACACCATATCTGGATTAGCAGTTGCACTGAAGCAGGTTCCTCCTTTTTTTCTTTTTGAGTACCTCTGATGCATCTTTTTTTCTTTTGTATAATTGAACATAACTAAACTTTTTTTTTTTTTTGCTTTTTTTCTTTTCTAGGTCAAAACTCCAGAATACAGAGCTTACCAAGAGCAAGTTCTCAGTAATTGTTCAAAATTTGCAGAGGTCTGATGAACATCACTTTCCAACACATATGATGCAAATAGAAAAATTTTCTTTTTATATATAATGGGTTCTCTATGAAGCAATTTGGAATGTTTTGCTATATGGCTAAGCAATTTGGTTGTTTCCTCTGTCTCACTAATTTCCTTCTGAACATGCAGAGCTTGCTAGAGAAGGGTTATGATCTTGTTTCTGGTGGAACTGAAAATCATTTAGTGTTGGTGAATTTAAGAGACAAGGTAAAAGGAGATTGTTACTTCCTCTGACAGGAAGATTTCAGCTGTGAAGGGCTATGATCTTCTAATTGTTTACCCATTTCTGTAACTGGAAGATTTATAGGCCTTAGTGTTGAGCATGTTAACCTGAAGGCTTACGAAAAATCATCCCATGGTTCCTTTAAAAATAATTTTACTAGATGAACAACTAATTCCGGGAACCAACAGGTGAGTTATAGGCTTACAAAAAATTATCCCATGGTTCCTTAAAAATAATTTTACTAGATGAAAAGTAGTTCTGATAACTAAAAGGTGAGTCATAAATAGCCAAGGTTTTGGGATTTATAATGAATCCACAGAATTCAAATGATTTACAAAAATTTAGTGGGAAAATCAGAGAACTTCCCTATAGCGGAGTGCTTGATGTTGAATTCATTGATGGATGCTGTTGTGAAAATGGGTTATGGCAGGAGAAAAATTATTAAGATATCCTCTTCGTAATTTTTTGTGACAGGGCATTGATGGCTCAAGAGTTGAAAAAGTTTTGGAATCAGTTCATATTGCAGCAAATAAAAACACTGTTCCTGGTGATGTGTCTGCCATGGTACCTGGTGGCATACGCATGGGTAAGGCCATCTGTATTTAATTATTTTGCACCTGCTGGTGATTGGTTAAGTACATCTTTTCTGATTCTGTTTTTGGGTTGTTCAGGAACCCCAGCTCTAACATCTAGGGGGTTTTTGGAGGAGGATTTTGCAAAAGTAGCCGAGTATTTTGATGCAGCTGTGAAGTTGGCCTTGAAGATCAAGGCTGCTGCCAAAGGTTTACTCTACCATCATCTTGTGGATATAAATTTTATTAGCGTTTGTAATGCTTGGTCACAGATTTCAGTACCATAGTTACATGCTCATGCACATGTCCTGATACAAGTGCAGGTACTAAGTTGAAGGACTTTGTGGCAATTCTGGAATCAGATGGTGAAATTCAATCTGAGATTGCAAAGCTTCGCCACGAGGTTGAGCAGTATGCTAAACAATTTCCAACTATTGGATTCGAGAAAGAAACAATGAAATACGGTGAATGAAGTCCTGACCACACAGATCATTGTTACAGGTCAAACCCCTATCTCCACTCTGATAAGTGAATAAGCACAATGCTTGACGTAAATTGAATTATTTGGGAGCATTTCTGTAGCGAAATGCAGTTTCATTCACTTTTAATACACAAAATACAATCTTGCAGATAACTTTTCTGAACACGATTAAGTGTCTACCTCAAAGATGTTTCCTATACGAAAGGAGATAGGGATAAAAAAAAATTCAATACAAACTACGAATTTAGTTTTTTTTTTTTTTTTTTCTATTTCTTTTTCCTTTGCCGATTGTAATACTTGATTACTTGAAGTTTCTTGTCCACATTGTAACTCTGTTATTTCTTCTTAGTTTCTCAATAACCGATGCTATTTTGTATCGATTGGAATGTTGTCAGCATGAAATCTTGCAATTTTCTTGCAGCTTTGATAATGCACAGCAATTTAGCATTTTTAAAAACAGGAAAATATGGAAGGTAGTGTGTCAAGGGAGCGTGATGCTTACTGCTTACTTTTATATTTATATTTCTTTCATAAGAAATTAAGAATGGAAGATTCAAGTTTAACTTATAAGTTGCGTAGTTTAATATAAATTCAATTTTACGAGGCAGACTGCTACTCTTTTTGAGAAGTATTCAAAAGACATTGTGATTGAAAAGTTTTTGGACTTTTGGCAATTTTGAAGGAAAAACCAACAAAAATGTCGTCACACATTGTAGCCGGACACGTAAAGTTGTTTAAAAAAAATATATTTATGTATATATTTTTTGGCTCCAAAAGCTGTGGATTGAGAAGTTTGTGAAAAGTTGCTTTGTGAGTAGAATCTTTTTGCTTTGTGAGAAGTATTTTGGTTGGGTAGTTTGTGAAGAGTAGCTTTGTGTAAGAATCGTCCCTTGTTTTGTTTCTTTAAGGATGAAAGAGATCCCAATAACAATCACAACACTACTTTTGTGGGAAGTATTTTTAAGATCCAATTCGTATGACGGATTCTATTGAAAGACTTGATTGCTTGCTTGGATGAATTTGGTTGAAACTTAAAATGCCAAATTTCCCATTTTTGCTGACAAACCAACTTATCAAAATGTTACGTCTTAGACAAAATGAATTCATCCGACCAAAAAGACAAAACTGAAGTGGACAAAAGCAGCACAAACAATTATAAAACCCACATTACTAAAATTAAGCATCATATTTACACTAATTAGTCAAGCATAGAGAGATTACATTTCTCGACTGCATTTTAATATTATACTAGCCTCTCCGCATGCGCTTCCGCGCTGCGAGAGACTTTTTATAAATAAAAAAAAATTATTTTAGAATTAAAAAAAGATAATGGGTAGTTGTGTTCCTTAAAAGGAGGATCCATTATCTGATTTTTCTTTTAATTTTAAATTTTTTTAATATGAAAAAGTGTGAATTTATCATATTATCCTCATTTAATTAATAATTTCAATTCTTAATGTGTGCATTAACCAAGGGCATTTTTTGGTATTTTGAATGTTTCACCATTCTCTGCCTTTTGCTTTATATATATAGATGATGTAGCAAGTAATGTGTATAAATCATTCACAAGTAGCAAGTGATGTGTACAAATCATTCATATATAATCGGATTATTTTCAAGAAATATAGGTAGAAATAGTATATTGTCGTGAAACATGCATAAGTTCTGAAGGAATGTGTGAACGAACAAAGATGAGCTTATAGATTTCATTCCTCTAAATAAATATGAAATAATAAAGAGAATTTGTGAACAATCTTTTGTTTTGTTCTACTTCTCAACTTTATATTAGTTACATCAAACTTATCTACTTGAGTTAAGGTTTTTGTTTGTTTGCTTAAATATCTTAATCATTGATGGAATAATACAGAAAAGTCTACATCAAAAATATCAGTTTATTAATCTTTTGCAATCGGCAATGTGCTTTCCCTTCCTTGTCAATCCCGGGAATCCAATTCCAGCTAACCCTACCCCGCCGGCAATCAGTTATTACTAAAATGAATGCAATTTCAGTAAATCCAAAACAAACAACTGTCAATAAACAGTAAAAAAAGACTTTTAAAACCCCCGACACATTTCATTTCACCATTCAAACCAAACCTCTCCACTATCACTCACTCTTCTCTCCATGGCCGCCACCACCACCACCACCACCCTAGAAATGGAGGCTGCCCCCAAAACCAATCTCGACGAGACCGAGGATGACTTGTCGCCCATCGAAGAGGTTCGCCTAACGGTGCCAAACGAGGACGACACGTCGCTGCCGGTATGGACGTTCCGGATGTGGATAATAGGCCTATTTTCTTGCATCCTCCTCTCCTTCCTCAACACCTTCTTCTCGTATCGCACGGAGCCGCTCGTTATCACGATGATCTCCGTGCAGGTGGCGAGTCTGCCGATCGGACGGTTCATGGCGCGGACGCTGCCGAGGACCAAGGTTTGGGTTGGCGGGAAGTCGTACTCGTTGAACCCCGGGGAGTTTAACATAAAAGAGCACGTCCTGATTTCAATATTTGCGAATGCCGGCGCAGGGTTTGGGAGTGGACCGGCTTATGCCGTCGGGATCGTGACTATAATCAAAGCTTTTTATGGTCGGAAGATATCGTTCTTCGCCAGTTGGGCACTTGTGATTACTACACAGGTAAGATAACTAGTAATGAACTAATATGCACGTGTGACGTGTTATATGTTAAACGCTCAAATATTAACCGGTTAGTAAGTTAATAAAGTTCGCGAATTAAATATTGCAGGTATTAGGGTATGGATGGGCCGGTATTCTCAGAAAGTACGTGGTGGATCCGGCGGCGATGTGGTGGCCCAGTAGTCTCGTTCAGGTTTCTTTGTTCAGGTAATTTCGTTTCGTATACTTAAAAAAGCTTACGATGGTATGTAGTTTCAACTCTCTTTGGGACAGACAACCTTGTTATTATAAGATCATAAAACTAGTTAGTAGTATACTTATGTGTATGGAAGGGAAAATTATGCATTAAGTATAGTTATGTGGATAATTCGGTAGATTTCCTCAAAATTTCTGCAAAAACAAAAGGAGTTTGTAAATTTGAAATGGTTATCAAACATGTCCTAAATTAAAAAATTAATACAAGTTTGTCGAAAAGGACTTTTGTTTTAAGAATTTAATTTGTATTCCATTATATCGATTAACAATATTATACGGGAAATGAATTATATGCCTATAATGCATTTTTCTTCAAATATACACGAATTTTTTCATACAAAATACACAAGAGTAGTTAAAAAGAAGGTATTTATGCTTATAATACACGTATTTAATAGCTATCATGAAAAATTTAAAATGAGCGCAAGTGCTACAATAAAATTTGTTCCACTTATTTTCTATTTTGTTTAGGTCTATAAACAAAGTTATGCATATTTATAAGGACTTGAAACCCATATGCCTTAAACATTTAATCCATGGAAACAAATATATATCCTGCACTAATGCATGCTTTTTGTTTTTTTTTATTTATAGAATGGCATGCTTTTTGTTTGAGCTTTCAAACAATATTTATCAAATGAACTTGACTTTGGTTTCCCATATGCATGAAGGGCTCTTCATGAGAAAGACAGCAACCGAATGTCCAGAAGCAAATTCTTTTTGATTGCCCTCATATGCAGCTTCTCTTGGTACGTTGTGCCAGGCTACCTCTTCTCAACTCTCTCCATGATTTCATGGATCTGTTGGCTCTCTCCAAAGTCAATAACAGCTCAACAAATTGGGTCGGGTTTCCGTGGACTTGGTTTGGGGGCAGTAACCCTAGACTGGTCTGTCATAGCCTCCTACCTTGGCAGCCCTCTGATCAGTCCCTTCTTTGCCATTGTCAATATCGCCGTGGGTTACATTATCACCATGTATGTGATCATTCCAATTGCCTACTGGAAGCTCAATTTGTACAATGCCAGCAATTTCGCAATCTTCTCTTCCCATTTGTTTGATTCCCAGGGCCAAATATATGATGTGAAAGCCATTGTGAATGACAACTTTGAGATTGACATGCCCTCGTATGAAAAACATGGACTCATAAACTTGAGTGTCTTCTTTTCCCTAACCTATGGCCTTGGTTTTGCTGCTGTTATAGCAACCCTCACACATGTGGCCCTTTTCAATGGAAGGTAGGTAAATAGTTTTTTTTTTCTTTTTCAAGGCTTTAAATTTATAGTGTTTTTCTCACTAATACTACACAAGTTTCCCAACTCTCTACCCACATCCCCTTTAGTTGGTAGCGATTATTAGCACTTCAAGAAAGTTATTTTGCACTCATCTCTTTTATATTTTCGCTCTTCTAAAAACAATAACATAGGAGTGCATGATGACTATTTTGGAATGTCATAGTTCCCTTTTTGTTTTTGTTTTTCTATGGGAAGTTTTGTTTTTGTCCTCGGATATACAATATTCACTTTTTTCACTAAACCCAAGTATCTGATTGAATTTTGATTTTGATAATTTGGTTAGGTACATTATTTTGCATATATATATATATATAGGTGCAAAAGTCGTACACGTACATTCATATTATATAAATAGGCATATCAATGGAGCAATGAGTATGAATGTACCTACCTACGTACCCTTTTGTATACCTTCATATATATTCAAAATAATTTACTTAAGAAAAGGACTTGGATCAAAATTCTATAACTCAAAAAAATAATTTAATGTATGAATGAAAGTTTTTTGTTTAGGTAAACAAATTTAGTGTTATTAATTATTATTGTGGCACTGATACGAATGATTCTTCTAACAGGGAGATATATAAACAATACCAATCTTCACATACTGAAAAGATAGATATACACACCAAATTAATGAGGAAATACAAGGACATACCCAGCTGGTGGTTTCATATTTTGCTTTTTCTGGCGATGGCACTCTCTCTGGCATTGTGCATTTTCCTGAAAAAAGAAGTGCAAATGCCATGGTGGGGACTCATTTTTGCAGCAGGAATTGCATTAGTTTTCACCCTTCCAATCAGCATTATAACTGCCACAACAAATGTGGTAAGTCTTCGACTCTTGAACCATTATCTCTTTTTCTTCACACTTGTTGAAGTTTATTGATAATGGCCAGTGATGTTAACACAACTCTTTTAGCTTTAGAAAAAATTGTTAAATATTCAGTTTAGCATGCAGATGGCTAAATAAGAAGTTACACGCGAGATCGCTATAATTTTATATCCGAAGATTTTATCTCCTTTCTATTTTGCAGACACCGGGACTAAATATCATCACGGAGTACATCATGGGTTTGATATTACCTGGCCAACCGATAACCAATGTATGCTTTAAAACTTATGGGTACATAAGCATGGCACAGGCTATTTCCTTTCTTAGTGATTTTAAGTTAGGCCATTACATGAAGATCCCG